ATGGGTCGGGAGGGCCCGACACGCAGACAGAGCCAACAATCCTCGGCTAACTGAGGGGCAGTTTGATTTAGCAATGAGAGGGTTAGCTCCAGTAGACTTTGGGTCTGGGGATCAAGATTTATCTCTCCCCTGTCATCCAGGATCACCAATGGGTGATAATTAAGCTCAGCGTATAAAGCTTGAATTCCTTGTTCTATTTGCTTGTGGACCCTTAATTCTTGGACTTTATCCTGGGCCCCACCACCATCAGAATAGCCGATGGGAGCCTCCAGCTCCCAGCACACAGATTCCCCGGGGTTACCATAACATTGGGAGGATGCCAAATTTCCCCCTTTAATGGGGGCTGGGGTTCTATCTATCCTAATTCCTGTCCAATAGGCTTTATTATGGAGGGATTAGTACATTGTTGGGCCATTTGGTAACAGACAGTGTGCATGGTTGGATAGAACGAGGAACAGGGACAAGGGCCTGGTTTGTCATTAATAATGGGAATAACCTTAGGTTTAAGAATACAGACCCAACTCTGGTGTCTGACCGCCGGATTATATGGATTGAGGTTGAACACTAGGTGGGCCTGACGGTCTCCACAATCTGCATTTTGAGTAACCATTCCCTGGTTGAAGCTGTAGGCCTTATAAGTTCTGCTACAGCATTGGGATCTCCAAATCCTTGATGACTGGGTGGGATGGACATCAGAAACATTAGGGATGATTTGGAGAGAAAAAAGGGTAAGAGTATATGCGGGGAGGGAACCAGGGCTCGGCGGCCCTCGGCCATCACCCAATTGATGGCCAGCAGGAAAAGGGGGATCATAATTATTGCCCTATTATTGGCCATTTATGGTACTTTTTGTAGAACTTGGTTACCAGATCTTGTATGACAATGGTAATGATGAAGATGGTGATGGCAAATGCGGCAATGATGAGCACAGCAGCGAAGACTTTCCAACCAGGATTTTCCATCATAGGGGGCTTGGTCTGTTTCAGCTGGAAAAGAACAGAGAAATTTTTCTCAGGGAATCTCATTTTCTCTGGAACCTTGATTAACATTTATTTGCTTTACTAAGTGTTCAGGTAACCAGCGGGCTGTATCATGTTGCTGTGAATAAATGCAGACAGATCCTCTGCCCCACGAATTATCCAGGGGGGGTCTTTCCATTTGACCATGGCATACTGTCTTTTTGATTCTGGGTGCCAAAAGCGATCTGCAGCCGACTTACCATGAGCATCTAAATTTAAAAAAATTTGAAATAAAGAGTACATGATTTAATAAATTCCTGGGGGATCCCCTGATGGGATACCATTCCCCCTTTTTTTACTTTATTTAGCGTATTTTTTATAAGTAAATGAGCTCTTTCAACTATGCCTTGGCCGTGTGGGTTATAAGGAATTCCTGTTGTATGCTTTATCTGCAAGGTGTTGCAGAAATTTTGAAAAGCTTGAGATACATATCCAGGGCTTTAATATGTTTCGGGGTGCCCATTATAGAAAAGCAATGGAGCAAATGAGCAATAACATGTTTAGTAGCTTCCCCTGTTTGTAATGAAGCACAAAGAAATCCACTGAAAGTATCAATGCAAACATGAATATATTTAAATTTACCAAAATCTTTATAATGAGATACATCCATTTGCCAAAGCATGTTAGGAACAAGTCCTCTAGGACTGACTCCTAGATGGGGAACAGGAAGGAAAGTGACACAAGCCTTACATTCTTTAACTATTTGTCTAGCTTGCTCTCTGGTGAGTTTGAACATCAATCGTAAGGAAGCCGCATTAAGATGATGTAACTCATGAGCCTGTTGAGCTTGAGCAATATTAGAAGGAGTAGCAATAGCAACAAGCCTAGTGGCTGTATCAGCAACCTGATTGCCAGCTGTTAAAGGCCCAGGAAGATTAGAGTGTGCTCGAATGTGTCCTAAAAAGAAAGGGGCCGTCCGCTGGCGAATGAGATGCTGACAATGACGAAAAAGATTTGTAGCTTCAGAAATATGCCCAATTATAGGAACAGTTTTTAAAATAGGTACAGCACGAACTATATATGCATTGTCAGTGTATATATTAAGAGGTGTATCAGGGAACATAGAGAAAACTGATATGATGGCAGACAGTTCCACCAGCTGTGTAGAGGTTTTATTAGTTTGAAATTGTACAACCTGATCATTCCAAGTGTAGGCTGCCGTTTCATTGGAAGAACCATCCATAAAAACCAACTAGGCAGTAGGTAAAGGCTGCAGGCTAGTAATGCATGGAAAAATGAAGGTATGCAGATTGCAAAATTGAATAAGCTTGTCAGGTGGGTAATGTTTATCTAAAACCCCTGAAAAATTAGCACAAGCTATTAGCCAAGTTTTTGAATTTTGAAGCAACCAGTTAATATGATCTCTGGTATAAGGCTGTACAATATGAAGAGGTTTTACACCAGAATATTTACGACTGTGATCCCGACCAATAATCATTAAGTCAGCTACTGCGTCATAATATGGAAGCAATACTCTTTTGGGGGAGGCAGGTAAATGTACCCACATAATAGGATGATCAGGCTCCTGCCAAAGAAGACCCATAGGTTATAATTGAGTATTAAAAATCATGAGCCATAAAGGCTTGCAATAATCTATATTGGTAACAAACTGATTAGCAATTGCTTCCTCAACTCTACGTAATGCAACTCTGATCTCCTCAGTAAGTTCTCTGGATGAAGTTGGCCTAGCATCCCCTTTAAGGATATCAAAGAGGGGCTTCAAGTCACCAGTAGTCAATTTCAAATAAGGACGTAGCCAATTAATATCACCCAATAGCTTTTGGAAATCATTCAAAGATAGTAATTTATCAAGTCTAAGAATAGCCTTTTGATTAGTTATCCTTTGTCCATCAAGTTGAAAACCTAAATAAGAGTAAGGATCTTGCATTTGCACCTTCTCAGGAGCAATTTGCAAACCCGCATCCAACAAATCAGATTTCAATTGAGCAAAACATTGCAACACCTCTTCTCCTGATGCACCTGCTATCAGGATATCATCCATATAATGAATTATGTACATGGAAGGCCAAAGACTTCTAGTATTTTGAAGAGCTGCAGCTACAAATTTCTGTAAGAAGGAGGGCGGTCACATTCTTGCCTCTCATGGCCATTTAATGATCTAGTCTCAGTTTTGCAAATCAACCCCTCTCTCTCAGACTCTGCGCCACCTGTATCTGAGGCTAGACAGGCATCTTCTGGTAAAAGAGGATAGATATGAATATGTTCTTTTTAGACTTTTGGGCATCCTCTTGATTTTCCTTTCCTTTAACTGACTCTAAGGACCTCCTTTTCATTTATCTAAAACCCCTGAAAAATTAGCACAAGCTATTAGCCAAGTTTTTGAATTTTGAAGCAACCAGTTAATATGATCTCTGGTATAAGGCTGTACAATATGAAGAGGTTTTACACCAGAATATTTACGACTGTGATCCCGACCAATAATCATTAAGTCAGCTACTGCGTCATAATATGGAAGCAATACTCTTTTGGGGGAGGCAGGTAAATGTACCCAGATAATAGGATGATCAGGCTCCTGCCAAAGAAGACCCATAGGCGATAATCGAGTATTAAAAATCATGAGCCATAAAGGCTGGCAATAATCTATATTGGTAACAAATTGATTAGCAATTGCTTTCTCAACTCTACGTATGGCAACTCTGGCCTCTTCAGTAAGTGCTCTGGGTGAGGTTGGATTTGCATCCCCTTCACATAACGATTTCCATTTGTGAAAGCAAATCTCTTTCCCCATAGGTTTACCGGTAAATAAGGAACTACAAAAGGCTTAATCAAACCTATAGGTTTACTGGTAAATAAGGGACCACAAAAGTCTTAATTAAACCAGAATTATTCATGGAATCTTTCCAAGTGAGAAATTTTGAGCTCTGTCTTGGATTTTGGCTCTGTCCTATACCTTTTAAATTGGTCAGAGTCTCAACTGTAGGCCAGGCTACGGGCTAGGTCTCAGCAAAAATAATAGTAACATCAGCTCCAGTATCGATGAGGCCATCGAATTTCTTTCCAAGGGGCTTTAAATCACCAGTGGTCAATTTTAAATAAGGATGTAACCAATTAATATCACCTAATAATTTTTGGAAGTCATTTAGGGTTTGTAGTTTATCAAGTCTAAGGATAGCCTTTTGATTAGTTATTTTTCGCCCATTAATTTGAAAACCCAAATAAGAGTAGGGATCCTGTGTTTGTACTTCTTTAGGGGCTATTTGTAAACCTGCGTCAAATAAATTCGATTTTAACTGAGCATAACATTGTAACACTGCTTCCCCTGATGCACCTGCTTTTATTTCCTCTGCTTTTTCCCTGCATGAGATGATTGGAATTAACCAGGGGTATTAGAATTATCTGAGCAATACATTCACCTTGTGGAATGGTGACTATATTGTCAGCAGTATGAGCTAAAATTTTTATTTCCCCAGTATAATCTTTATCAATTATCCCAGGTACAACGGATAGGCCTTTCAGAGCGGTACTACCGCACCCTAATATCAGCCCGCAAGTATTGGTGGGGAGTGGTCCATAAATTCCAGTCAGCCATTTTTTGAGGCAAAACCTTCCACTGGTATCTCTTTATAGGCTCTCTAAAATTAATAGAAGGAAGGCTAAAGGCAAAGCGTTTGTGATCCTTAGGATATAAGGGAATAGTGAAAAAATAGTCCTTAAGATCTACTATTATCTTAAAGTATTTTTGTGGTATAGCAACTGGCGAAGGCAAACCTGGCTGTAAAGTTTCTATGAGGACCATGGTAGCATTGACTGCTCTTAAGTCTTGCAATAATCTCCATTTTTCTGACTTCTTTTTAATAACAAATATGGGTGTATTTTACAGAGAACAAGTCTCTTCAATGCGCCCTGCCTCAAGTTGTTCCTGCACCAAATGAGTGGCTGCTGCCAACTTCTCTGCTGTAAGCGGCCATTGAGCTACCCAAACTGGATCATCCGATTGCCAGGTTATAGGATCCACGTAGTTCGGGGGTGCAGGACTGTCAATGGCTTCCATCATAAATTTCCCAAGCCATGCTTATCATTCTGGCCCTCATTTGGTATGGGGGATAATCTTCCATCCTCTCTCTTCCCTAATCCTTTGCCAGGGCTATAACCCTGTGCAAGCATCTGTGCAGTAACAACATCGTTTGGACTACACATCACAATTCCTCTTTGTGAAAGCAGATGGTCCATTTTCTTTCTTCCCTAATCCTTTGCCAGGGCTGTATGCCTGAGTAAGCATCTGTGCATTAACAACATCATTCGGACTACACATAACAATTCCCATTTGTGAAAGCAAATCTCTTCCCTATAGGTTTACTGGTAAATAAGGGACCACAAAAGTCTTAATTAAACCAGAATTATTCATGGAATCTTTCCAAGTGAGAAATTTTGAGCTCTGTTTTGGATTTTGGCTCTGTCCTATACCTTTTAAATTGGTCAGAGTCTCAACCATAGGCCAGGCTATAGGCCAGTTCTCAGCAGAAATATCTCCAGTATCAATGAGGCCATCAAATTTTTTTCCATCAAGCCATAAAGTCAACATAGGTTTTTTGTGAGTAATGGCTTGGATAGCAGTCTGAATTTGTGCGTAAAGTCCTGGGTCATATTGCATTTGTCGTTCATTAGTCCCATACTGACCTTCGCCTGTTAACATATCAAAATCCCATCCATTCCTAGCTTTCTGGTTTCTTCTAGCTGTCTGCTTACAATTCTCAAAATACTCTGATTTCCATAGCAAATAATCACCCCCACTGTGCCCCCACTAAGGACCGCCCTTACTAATGTATTCCAATCAATGGGAGTTAACCATTTTTCAGCCACACCTTCCAAGATTGCTAAGGTATACGGGGCTATGGCTCCATATTGAGACACGGCAGTCTTTAATTCTTTAATAAATGGAAATTCGAAACCCTCATCATGTCGCTATGCTTGCCTTTGGTCATCTACCGTTTCTGTCACAGGAAAAGCCTCCATGTATTGCTGCTGGCAGGAGCGAAATTGACTGCCCCAAAAGCTTGTTTCGGGGCCTGGGGCTAGCCCCTCCACCAGTTTCCCTGACGAGGAGATAAAGGTCTCCCTTCAATATCAGTCTTAGATCTCCAATCACTACAATTTAAGTGTTAATGATTGATACATTTCCTCTAGTTTAATTTGTTCCTGCAATTGTGCTA